AAAATAATTTAAAATTTTTTTTGGCATTTCTTCTCTAGGTAAAATTTTAAATTTCTTTTAATATTTTATAAGATTTAATATTATAAATGAAATTCTAAATGTTTTTTGTCTTAAAATTTGAAAGAAAATTTATAATTTTGTTTTAAAAGAAACTTCAAATTATGTTTTAAATAATTATTCTCATTTATTTCAAGATTTCACAAATAAAGATATGCCAAAATTAATTTATAGTTTTTGTCTAAAGAAATTTTTAAATGTTGTTTACAATTTCTATCAACCAAAAATGGTAAATTAAATTATGAATTATATTTAACATTATGTAAGTTATTTTTTAAGGCAAGAAATTGTGAAATGCCTGATGTGGAAAGGCTTATCCGCTGCAGTCCCTATGGCTGTTTGTTGTGATGCGAAAAAAGTGCGGCACGTGATGCGCGAATTGAGTGCCTCTCATCCGATCCCAGCTCAGCAGCTACTACGACGTGTCGCGCTCTCCGCAGTCTGTTCATCCTGCCCGTCCGCCATGCTCCCCCATCGTCCCCTGCATCCGCAGCAGGACGTCGAGGGTTTGGGCATGCATGACGTGAAATTCGCCACCCACAAACTTGCGTCCGGTTCGTCCGTTGACATAATACCACGACGTCGCTCCAGGTCGGGCGACCGTGATCGCGACCGCTCGCGTGCCCGCTCCGAGCGTCCTATCCTCGCTCTCCCTATACCACTCTTACATAGAAACTCACGATCCATGAGCGCTGTTCCTACAAAACGTGTCTCACACCTCGCAAGAGACGAACCGATCTCTGTAACACCTGTCTCGTTGAATATGGAAAGTAGTCGTCCTGGTCTCGGATCGCGGAGACCGAGACTTTTAGCCGTTATGCGGAGGTCGAATAGTTATGGGTATGGAAGAAACGCAAAAGGAGCTCCGGTATGTTGTAGTTGACCCTCATCATCTTGCCTCTTACCACCCGACTGATTTTCCCTTGAATACTGGAACAGGGACGTGGCATGTTCTCAACCCCCGAAGAGCGCTCAACGTCGGTCAGTCCAGCCGAATCGCGTACGTCCTCGCCAGTACGAAGTTCACAACCGCCCTCCATCGCTCAAATAGCGATGGGCCTACATACGTCTCGTACACCTCATCTCGGTCCTTCACACGCTTATCTCAGTAGCGAGCCTGGCGCTCGAAGCGCTGCACACTTGCACACCCGAGGGCGTGCATCTCTTTCCCCTCCTCCCTCACGTCCAGCAACCGCATCATCCTCCACTCGCGTTGCTACGCCTCTGCGATCATCACTCAAAAAGAACGACGCAAGTCGATCAACGTCTCCATCTGCGAGTGTTTCGGCTAGCGCGTCGTCTATACCCTCAACTCCGCGTTCTCCATTTAGTCGTATTTCTCTTGCGCTTTCTGGTGGGGGAGGAGGCAGGTCGAGATTGGATAAATTTCTTGGAAGGGGTGCAAAGTCGCCTATGGCTTCCGTTACTAGCTTGAACAGCAGTGAAGCCGATTTGGGGGTGCCGAGGAAGGCTGTCAGGTTCACGTCTATCATTGAAGATGAAGATGTCGGCGTCGGCGTTCGGTAGTGACCCGAGGCGACAGCCTTACTCTCCATTTCTTACCTGGTGTTTTACAACTACGAACTTTGTTTTTCGTGTGCATTATTTTTATTCCTATACTTGGTGTTCTTTAGTTGTACGTCTCTCTTCTCCCGTTTTCTTGGAAGCGTGAGCTGACTATCTTTGATAGCCTTTTGCATTTTTGGGTACTTAGCAACGATGGAAGGACGGACGTATTTCTCGGATTTTCCGGACGCAACCCATTTGATTGTTTGGTTGAATTTCTTGACTCCCACAACGACCCTTTGCCTACTGCTTCCTGCATGCAATTCTTCCCCAGTTACAACACGCATACAGTGACGAGTACAGTACAGTATCATATCCCATTCTATCTGGTCAGTCCATTCTACGTAATTCGTTCTTTCATATTCCTAGTCTGTTCTTTTATCTTCTTTATTCTTTTATTGCCCCAGTCCTTGTTGTTTCAATGTTTGTTCACCATTTTCTTGTTTCTTTCAATGGTACGAATGCCATGAAAAATGCATGAGATATGTGTATGTAGGATGGTTTATTAGTTGACGACGACGTGATGTGTATGTGCTATGATATCATCGTTTCGTTATTCATCAAAACGTTGGGGAAGGGTGATTGCCTTTAGTAAATTAGAAGATAGACGTGTGTCCGATGCTGTTGTTGACAAGATGACTTTGGGCTTCTTGGAATCTGCCATGCCCATGTATGATGTAGGGTTTGCATGACGTATATTGGTGTGACATGTTTCTGCCTTTGAAGTGGAATAAATGTTAAACAATGAGCTGCCAATTACAGCATCCTTACTCGAATTGCATGCTTTCTTTAAAGCACGCAGGGACAAAAGACACTTCAAAATCAAAACAAGTTACAGATGCTTGAAATTGTCACATCTTGTTGATAACGATTTTATTGACAAAGAGAAGATTATGCATCCTCCCGAAAAGTATTTTGGCACGTGCCGGAATCGCGTCGCGTATTTATTCATGTTTTGTTGAGTGACAACATTTCCCGACCCGAAGTCTTTCTGATTCTCCGTCCTTCCCCGTCCACTCCCACACAGCAAACACAGAACCACGACTATGTCCATGAAAAATATCAACCCTAACAAGTTGATGACGCCGGCCGCGGCGTTTACGATGGCTATCGTAGTCATCTTTTACACGCGATCGTCCATCCAGCAAGCTCGCAGGGAGGCCGATGACCGGCACAAGAAGGAGCTCAGCGCTGCAAAGGCAAAGCAGTGGGCGGAAAGGACTTCATCTAACTGACAGGACCAGGAAGAAGACATCGAATTTTCTTCTTCCTTTTGCGATTTCGTTTTCACAAATTCGCTCTGTAATTTTACGATCAAATCGTGGGAATCTCCTTCTTTTTCTTTTAATCACCTGCTTTGCGGTGGCATCTTGTTAGCGGTGACCCGGGACTTTGATCCTGACGAGCATGATACCGCGTCGCTCACTGCAGCACTTTGCACGACGCCTGAGCTCGATGTCCAAACCCCCCGCCCACTGGAAACGCTCCGCGCCTGGTCCACCGAGTGGCAGCCTAACCGTCGCCGGGCAACACGCGTTACCGAAGTTGCCTGTGCCCACTCTTGCGGACACGCTAGCGCGTTTACGCCGTTCTTTGCAACCCTTTGCTCACTCGCAAGATGAGCTACACGCCGCCGAGAAAAATATAACAGAGTTCGAAAATGGTATTGCACCGGTATTGCAGGAGCGCCTGGAGAAGCGCCAGCAAGAAACGGAGCATTGGCTTGAGGAATGGTGGGATACCGGCGCGTATATGGGCTACCGCGACTCTGTAGTTGTCAATGTCTCCTACTTCTATGGCTTTGATGATCACCCGCCCATGTACCCACGTGGTTCTGTCCATCGTGCAGCCGCTCTGACACGTGCAGTGCTGCTATTTCGTAAGTCATACAAATTGGGCTTACTCCCGCCCGAGGCAACGAAAGAAGGACCTATATGCATGGATACGTACCGGTGGATGTTCGACTGCTGTCGAGTACCAGGCTCCGGAGGTGTCGACTGGGCTGATTCTTATGCGAAAGAAGGAGACCTTGGCGATTCGGGACACATCATTGTACTTAGAAAAAATCGATTCTGGCGAGTGGACGTCTCCCAGAGTGGCTCGTTGCTCAGTACATCCGACCTGGAGAGGCAACTTCAGCATGTTTACGATAATACGAACAAATTATATCCAGAGGTCGGCGTATTAACGGCTTCCAATCGGGACGTGTGGGCAAAGGACTATGAAGAACTTATATCCGACCCGACGAATGCCTCAATTATGCGTGACATTCATTCGTCTGCATTTGTTTTGTGCCTTGACGATCTACGCCCGGACAATCTTGAGGCGTTTTCACGCCAGCTCTGGCACGGAGGTCGAAGCGGACGTTGGCTTGCAAATAGATGGGTAGATAAGCCTGTGCAGCTGATTGTATGCGATGGTGAAGACGCCCATGCAGGAATCATGGGCGAACATTCCATCATGGACGGAACACCGACCGCTCGTATGTGTGACGACATCTTAAATGCGCTCGCCTCCTCGTCCTTTGACAATGGCTCCCCTTCCTCGTCTTTCACTCTACCCAAACCACTGGACTGGAACATAAGCGGTACGACTCGAGCTGCAATAGAACGTGCTATTGGAGCAGCGCAGAAATTAACCGACGATCAAGAGCTGCGCGTGTATAAGACTTCGTATGGTAAGCGTGCAATTAAGACCTTCGGCGTCTCCCCGGACTCGTGGTCGCAGCTGGTCGTGCAGCTCGCTTATGCCCGGCTTCTTGCACGCATGGGATGGAAGCGTAATGGCGGCACCTACGAAGCTGCATCGACGCGGAAATTCGCCAAAGGCCGAACGGAAGCAGTTCGTGTCGTGACTGCTGAAAGTGATGCATGGGTTCGTGCGATGGACTCGCAGGAGCCTGATATAAGTGATTCAACAAGACGGGCCCTCTTCCGAAGCGCCGCAAGTCGGCACGTTCAGAATGTACGCGAAGCTGGGGCTGCACAGGGCATAGATAGGCACTTACTGGGTGGGTCGGTTAATCACGGATATTGTTCGCATTTTTCATCTGGCTTTTTCTAGGTCTCCAAACGCTTCTGCGGTCTTCGGAACCGAAACCCGCACTATTCACTGATCCTCTGTACTTACGCGCTAAGAACTGGGTTCTTAGCACGAGTGCAGTGTACTCTAAGCACTTCATGGCGTATGGGTGGGGTGAGGTCGTACCTGATGGATTCGGCGTTGCATATATGACTGGGAGCGATGATGAGCTGTTCTTCAACATCACTTCACGCGTAGAGATGCCACTTGACGTGTTTATGGAAGAAATTGAGCGCGCGACGCGGGACGTACATGTCCTCTTCGCGAAGGAGAAGAATCCGGATGCAAAGCTCTAAATATCACGAGAAGCCGAAGTAGACGCTTAATGAGCATTATACAGTCATAGATTTGGAAGAAGGGAAATTGTGAGTTCTAGACCGCTATTCATGCGACCGCTCAGAGCGGCTGAAATCATCTGTCCCTGTGCCGCAGAGAGCCTTCAACAGGACCATAGAAATTATGCAAAATCTAACGATTGGTATTATTGAGATTGTATCCGACTGGGCGATCCCTAGTAACTTATCTCGCATGGTTAATCATGCTTGTTTCATGCGAGATTGCCGTTCATTCTGACATTTTGTGAGTGTGTTAGTAACGCGTTGGCACACCGGCTGCCCGACCCGTGGGTCAAGAGATGTGCTTCACGCTGGCAGCATATGCACGATGATTCGCGTCATGTACAAGCTTTTTCCAGGACCATTGGCAAGACTCTTCTGATAATCTGGGTTAGATCTGAGTCATGCAGAGTGCGGAGGTAAGAAGGTGGTTATTTGTACAAGTGTGGTCCTATCAAGTCTGGAGAACGGCGGATTACCTGATTGAGACGACTAGCATGTGGAGTAAGGCCTCCTCGGTTTCTGCTTTCTCCTTGCCCCATGCGAGAGCGAGTTGAAACACGCCGTGCAGGAATACCTTCATAAGACAATCTAATGTGGCTGACGTACCTCGGATGCAGTTCCGCAAGTCACGTAATTCAGCCTTATTCTGCACTATGGAATACATTGGCCATTTTCAAACAAGACGTCAGGCCGGTTGTCTCGGTTCACTGCTACGTCCTACAGGCTACAGCTGGCAACTATGCAAAGAACTGATATTTGACGAATCTAGTGATTGACGCAAGTCGCGATTTCAACGGATACTTGCTTGAATACTTATTCTACCGCGGCCTCGGCAAACTAGTGGGAATTCTACTGTACTTGCGCTGTTCTTTGCCATGCGGACTTACATGCAGCACCTATTTGCTACATGTGCGTTTCGAATTACGAGCCGTTTATCCTCCATATTTTCCTTCGTTTGCCGCCCTCCCGACATGCTCTTCAGAGCGGACGATGGTCGCTCCAGATAGGTCCCCGCTCGAGAAGCTGCATCCTGTCAAGCGAAGCAGACGTGCATATATGTATTTTTCATCTCCGAATGAACTTCGTAATTTATAAAACGATTTCGTCAATCTGGCCCCGTCCTCTCGACTTCATCGAAGTTTCTTGATTGTCTCTTTTCTCGGTTACTTTTTCTCTTCGAGCTTCGAGGGCTCAAAGAGTCAAAGAGTTGCGAACCTTGCCTCAGATGTCCTCGTTGCTTCCTCGTATCTCATCAAACGACCTTGACCACACTGGTTCAAATTTTGGCGGCACGGTATGGCTGGACCTGTGTAAGCTTGTGGAACATATATTAAAGCATGGGTTTCTTAAAGATGGGCGTCATGTACCTATCGGCTATGTGAGCAACAGATGTTCAGCATGAGAGTTAAAAGATCCTTCTGATCCTCCAAAAACCTTTAGTTTCGGTACAGTGTGCGTGTTCTGCGTAATTGCGTATGTTCGGGACGTGTATGGCTTATTCTAAAATCAGGCTTTGGGGAGTCGGGACTAGCCAGACGTTCTATTACTTCAAGGTATGTCTAATATATACGTTGCCGGCTTCCTTGGAATTCAAAAATGTATACGTTTCAGACATATCGGCAAGACTGGCTATGGATGAAGATCTATGTATTTAATTTGTGGCTGCTCGATACGATACATGAAGCTGCGCTTGTTGGGGCAATTTACCGATATCTTATAACTGGGTTTGGAGATGTGTCTCGGAGTATACATCTTGATAAGTACGTACAAAGCTGTTCTCCGGTATTACACAATTCAGCGCATGTGCCATGCTTACTTCGCTTTGCAGACTCCTCGTCTTCGCCCTGTTAGTCGGTGGATTCGTATGCTTGATGGTGCAGCTTATCTACGTGATGCGAATATGGAAGCGTGAGTTCTCAGAGTTCATCACTCGGTAAGATGTGTAAGATTTACGATATTGGAGTGCACACAGTCAGCGGAAAGAACTTTTGGTTAGCCGGTGGTGTCGGTATCCTTGTCGTCGGACAGTTCACAGCGACGCTAGGATATTTCGGAAGAGCAGTCCAAGCTGAGACCTTCCTGGACCTGCAGCGCAGTATGCTAATTACACGAGTTGTCAACGCTGTCAGTGCTGTTGCAGATGCTGCCATTGCTGCATGTCTCGTCATACTTCTCCATCGGAATCGTTCGGGATTCAAACGTAGTGACACGATAATTAACTTGCTCATCGCGTTTGCTATCAATACGGGACTCCTAACGAGCCTTTGTGCGATCCTTGGGCTTATTGTAGGACTCGTGCGTGAGGATACGCTGTTGTTCATGTTCTTTTATCTGCTGATCGTCCGACGTGAGCTTTTTTTCATAACTATGAATTTGGTATTGCTTCTTACAACTTTCACAAACTAAAAAGTGTACATGAACTCACTTCTAGCATCGTTAGTACTAATTAAATCACTCGGATGTTTTGTGTCCTCATGTTTGTTTTTCAGGCTCAACTCACGAAATACCTTGAGACATATTCTCACTAGGACACAGAGCACATTCGCGACCTCGGAATTACCGACTTACAGGATACGATCCAACGTTTCGCATGTAGACTCAATAGTTTGCAGCTCACCTACTCTTGAAGCAGCACATCCGCCGGAACTACCAAGCGTGAGTGGACAATCGACCTTGTGATGGAGATAGAATGATATCTGAGATACTTGATCAGATCCTTTCCGTAAAGACTCCACCAACGGCAATTGAACAAATTATTGACGGCTTGTTTGGCGAGGTGAGTTTATCCACAGGGCTCATATTTGAACGCATAAAGGATATCACTCATACTCCTGTCTTAGGAATCGGGACATTCAGTTATCTTACAAGATCCAGAGAAAGTTGCCGATGCGATACCGAATAAAGTCGAAGATGTCCATAATCCGTTGCGAAATTGAATTCCTTTTCCTTGGTATTCTGGACGATTTATTCGCACAGATAATACTTTCCTCTTCAGTAACGATATCTCTCTGCTACTGCTTTAGTTGCTGGGATGGTTTGCACGATTTTAATGTCTCCTGTTATGCATATCCTTGTATCTCCCACTCCTTAATCAATATTGACAGATACACACACTCCTTTGTGCTTTGGCTGTCTCAGATGAACTTGTACTTTGCATTGCCCTCACACATTCTTTACCTACATCCATATCCTCATATTATTTACTTTCCATTGTATATACCGATTAGCATGTAAATCTGATGTATACCCGCATTTCAGCAATAACACGCTCCTTGCACATATTGCTTTACATAAGTAGTGTATGACGGCAAGCAAAAGCACTTACGTTTTCCGGTCTTAACGGCGATCGTTCGTTGCATCGATATTCACCCAGCTACTTCTTGCTCCTGTCTTGACCTCAAGGAAGGCGAAACATTTGGCTACTCTGTCAGTGATGTCTAGCCGATTTTCGAAACATAACGACGGGAGATCAAAGCTCGGCGGTATAACATATATATATATATATAATGTTCTTCTCTTCAACCAACCCCGCTTCTTTGGCTATATGACACAGCTGAGCGCGGCTCGCTGCACGGAGGTAATACTTGATGTTTTCGACGAAACATAGTAAGTTACAATAATGCTTGTCATTATCTATATACTGTATTCCATTATCAATTCTTACAGAAACGCGATTCCATTTACTTACTCACAAAGTTATTGTTGCAATTGGACGAGTTGAACTAAACTTAACAGCCCGTAATAAATCCATCCACAGATAATGGAGTACTTCAATTATGCGAGATGTCGATAATAAGATTCGAGGTCGAGGCTAGCATAGAAGAACCCGATGCCGAAGGAACTTGATTCCTCTGTGTTCTCGGCGTCGGATTTAAGAATGCCAACAATGCAATATGTTATTTTGTTTTACGTACTTTTATTTCATGGCGTCTTCGACTGCAGGGTCGTGGAGGCTGGACTTGACATTAATATTGAGACGGTAGATGGTTCGGAGGGAGTGAGGATGCACGTAGCTTCGCGGGCCTTGCTGTGTTATGTGCATTGCTTCGACGTAAGAATGCATGGTGGTCCCCTGTGTGGATTGCTTCTTCGTTACCTCAACTCGACCCTGATTGCTTCCTAGTTTCTTCTCATCGTTAGTCAGGCATAATACTGACAATTCCACGAAGGCGTAGCGGTCGGGTGTAGGCCATGCCTCTTGAGGCCTCCATGACACGTCATAGGTTATAGGTCGTGCTTGCTTATCATTTTTTGTGAAAACACTGGGCAAGGTGATGTTACAGGCTTGTAAGTATAAGATGTTGGTCTGAGAGTCCCCAGATTCGTCTTCATGAAAAAACCTTCCTAACAATAGGTGTGTAATCAGACAAGGCCATTATGATCTGATATCCTCAAGTTTCTTGTAGAAACAGACTTTCAGGACAGCATTTGAGCTAAGGTATAAAGGCCAGGTCAAATAGGAGATTTACTGTTACCAGCTTAGCGGACCGAGACCAATTCTATTCGCTTTCAAGTATACTTGCTAGCACATGATGTACTGAGCTGCGTGGAGACAGGTAAATCGTGGCACCGGTATTTGCTACAGGATGCATGCGTCGGCTGCCTGTACCGTGGGGTCGTAGACAAGTAGATTGGATTATAACAAGCTGCGGATTGACCCCGTAATCTGCGCCGATCATTGTTTATCTAATTTAGGCAACATAACTTCACGATGGACTCACGTTGATCTATGTTTACTTCACACGCGATGCACAAAGGTTGTGATGTTGCCATAATCTCTACTGCGCAAGAGCTGCGGATAGTTCATTAGACCCATAATCTTAATGCCATCGCAATTGCACGGTCGATCGGAACCGATAATTGTCTCAATGCGATCATCGGGAAGCTAGGCACTGTGAATCCACCTGTGCGATTTGCTATGCTGGCTGCACGGTCTCTATCCTTCAAGTCCAACGGGGATACAACTTCGCTGCAGTTGAGATGGGCGCTTTATATATTTGCTCCATTCCAATGTTGATCGAGGGTCATCGAAACCGGACCGTGAGGAGCTTATTTTATTCTAATACACAGGCATATATGCTCCGTGGATGGAGATTTCGTAGCATTATAAGGTCTTGATATTACACGCAGCGAGGCCCCCTCTCGCTCCCGAAAGAGAGCTGCACCATCTACCTGGAGCCTCTTTACACAAACCCTCATCGTTACTTTGCCGGCTCCCGTTCTTTCTCAAGCTCTCGGTATGGCCTCAACGCCTCCTCCAGATCAAGGCTCCTCTGAGACGACCTTTGATACAACAGTATGTCTCCACTATTCGTTATGTCAAGAGCTTTGCTGAAGTCGGATTTGTTCAGGTAGGCGTGTTGTATATAACTGCAGTGTATGTCTGATTTAGTCCTACGCATATGATTTACAACAACGCTGACAATCGGCTTCAAGATGTTCTATGGGGTAGGTAAAATTTCCTCGGTGTTGTACTGGCAAAATCAGGTGCTCAAATTTAGTCGGAATTAGATTGTGGGGCGCCGCGACTCTCCAAATGTACCATTACTATAACGTAAGTCTTGCGGCACTGCGAGAACCCAGTTGGCTCATCGCATAATCCATTCAGAACTACCAGAGTGATTCGGGGTGGTTGAAAACATATATCTTTGCCGTGTGGTTCCTGGACACTCTGCATCAGACGCTACTCGTTGCCTCCGACTACAGATATCTAATAATTGGTTTTGGCGACTTCACTCAGTTAATGCAGATTGATATGTGCGTATCGGTAGTTGATGCATTGTACAACCTCAGGCTTCAAGTTGTAATTAACACTCGTGCTTTATAGACTCTTTGTCATAGCCTTGCTAGTTGGCGGTCTTATCTGTGCTATGGTCCAGTTTATATTCCTGATGCGCGTTTGGAAGCGTAAGGATTGCGTTAATTGCTTATATCGTTATGATGACAATGTGTTTTCTGATTGTAGTCAGCGAAAAGAACATCATCTTGAGCGGTACCATCAGCTTGCTAATTGTTGGTCAACTTGTGGCGACGTGCCTATATTTCGTCAAAGCCCTTCAATACGAGGATTTCGGGCGACTCAAAGGATACATGTCGCTGACACGCATCGTCGATGCCGTCAATGCAACTGCAGACACCGCGATAGCACTGTGTCTTGTCGTGCTTCTCCATAGGAATCGCTCTGGGTTTAAGGACAGTGACACAACAATCAATCGGCTCATCGTATTCGTCGTCAATACGGGCCTGGTGACAGGCCTGTGTGCGATCCTTGGGCTTATCCTGGGAATAGTCCTTGAAAACACACTATTTTTCATGTTATTTTATTTGATGACTGGGCGATGTGAGTCTTTAAGATTTCATATGATAAAAATACTGACGCCTGATTGCTTATGCCCATGCCCGCAGTATACGTGAATTCACTATTTGCGTCGTAAGTTCTGTTGTCTTATGGTTTGCGTCACTATATGCATAACTTCTTTTTATAGGTTAAACTCGCGCAAAGACTTTCGCAATAGCCTTGTCAAAGCTCGCAGTAGCTTTGGTTTGTCAAATGTCTCTACAGGCCAGTTCAGAACCGTTTCGTTCCAGACGCACTACAATGAGTGTGCTGCAAACACCCCTGTCACTCCAGATCAGCGTCCAGATTCAAAGGTGAGTAGATGATAGGTTCCATCGCATTTTATTGGTAGCTTACTGCAACGCCAAGCCTAATTTCGTTACGGAGAATAACCCTACCAGAATTTCGGTGACGGTTGAGAGGGTAGTTGGTAGTCCATTCGATGAGGTGCGTGGACCCAATATTTCTGAGGAGTATTATGACTTACGATCATTCCCGCTACAGGAATCAAGGTATTCGTTTGATCTCGAAGATCCAGAGAAAGAAAGCAATGCATCAATCCACAGTAAATTTGAGAACATTCCGCTATAACAACGGATGTCTCTGTATTCTAGATTCTCAATCATCTTTCAACTGTTTAGCATCGTATAAGGGTCGCACTATAAGGAGAAAAGGAAGGATTGTAGAAAAAATGTTGTGTAGTTTCGTGTGTCCAGCTCCAATTGTGTATTCTAGCCTGTTGTTCAATAGGATCCAGTCAGTAAGGATTACCCTTGCAAGTACGATCTAGTACATGCCACCGCTTACGCATGTCGGAAAGACGTAAAGCAATACACCACGCTTTATTATCCTACGCCACGTTTTCTGCTGCGAAAGGCTGTTGCTGCTGAGGCTATGACGGTCCATTGACGGAAAGCAGTGGGTGAATCAGTCATGCCGAGCCGTCTGGCCGCGTCGTAAATGCGGCTATAATAGTATTACCCTACTCTCCGACTCCCATCAGCCCAATCCCTGATCCCTCAGACACTCCTTACCTCTTTCTACTTCTTCATCTCATTCAGCATGGCGCCAGTGGAGACAGAATACTATGATCTGGTACGGACTGGCATATTTGTTAGTGGATTGGATGCTGAACCTCGTTGAAGCTGGGCGTGCAACCCGACGTCGAGGAGACTGAACTCAAAAAAGCATACCGCAAGGCAGCAATAAAGGTTCCTCGATTTCTCAACTAAAATGCCTTAGAAGCGTTCCTAACCACGCGTCGCCACCATTTCAGTTCCATCCCGACAAGAATAAGTCACCAGATGCTACAGAGAAGTTCAACGAAATTAGGTGAGCATTTCGGTTGCTTCGTAGTGTATTATCATCGCGTGGTTAACCCTTGCCGTTCATTAGCAAGGCATACCAGATCTTGTCAGACCCTGTACGTCCTCGGGACACATCGAGGTGTTGCTTCTGGAAGCTAATGTGTAACGTGGTTGGTAGAATTTGCGGACCGTCTACGATAAGAATGGCAAGTCGATGGTGCGTCTTCTTGTCTCTGATTCAATCATTCTTTCCTAACAAATACGTTCAGACCGACAAGGAAGGGCCTGGCCTTGAAGACGCTGCTGGCTTCTTTGCGAACGTTTTCGGTGGTGAACGGTTCGAAGACTATGTACGTGTGCCTTTTGCGGCGTTAAGGGGCTGGATCTGACTTTCGGACTTCGTTGTACAGATTGGCGAGATCTCTCTAATGAAGGAGATGACAAGTGTGGCTTCTACTGTTATGTCTGAAGAAGACAAGGCAGCATTGGAGCGTGATATTAGGAGTTCCAACCCACAGACTCCGTCACCATCGCCACTTGATCACAAACCGGCTTCAACTCAGGGTGCCGTGTCTGATGAGAAAGCACCTGAAACAGACAAACCTCAAGCTCAAAGCCTGCCTCATCCACCGGCAGGGAGCGCCCCTCAGGGCCTAAGTGCTTCTCTTCCGACGTCTGCTGCTCCATCACCCTCCACATCGCCACCACCGCAAGATGGCTCCAAACCATCTGCTTCAGCTGATGATTTACGAAAGAAGAAAGGGAAACAGAAGTTGACACCAGAGCAAAAGCAAAAACTTGAAGAGCTGGAAGTTGAGCGTCGTAAAGCGATGGAAGCACGCGTAAAGAAACTGGCGGAGAAGCTCATCGAGCGCATCCGACCGTTCGTTGATGCTGAACATCCTGGTGACCCAAACGACGCGGAAACTATTGCGTTCCAGCAGAAGATGCAACGTGAGGCGGATGATTTGAAGCTTGAGAGTTTCGGCTTAGAGGTACGATTTTGCTTTGCTACACAAGCCCGAATTACTCACCATCTGTGCTAGCTCCTGCATACTATCGGCAATGTATATCTGACTAAGGCAACGTCCTTTATGAAATCTCGCAAGTTCCTCGGAATGTGAGTATGCCTTGAATTTGGAATATTTACTCATCTCTGAACCTATCTTTCTTAGTCCTGGTTTCTTTTCTCGCCTGAAAGAGAAGGGTGCCATGGCGAAAGATGCCTGGGGGGTAATTGGCAGCGCGTGAGTAGTTGATTTTACCGTGACGACGGATTGTACTAATTCTAGAATTAGTATTGGTGTACAGCATATCATGGTGGTATGTCAATCATCATCTTTCACGATCGCCGGAGCATTATTGATAATATTTTGTAGGAAATGGAGAGGTTACAAGCAAAGGGAGAGATTCCTGAAGAAGAGTTGAAAGCATTAGAACTCGACATGACTGGAAGGGTACTTAGTCCTTCCCATCACTTGGATTCATGCTGACCGAAGAGCGTATTGTAGATTATGCTAGCATCATGGCGGGGAACACGATTCGAAGTCATGCAAGTACTCAGGGAGGTCTGCGATAAAGTCCTTAAGGATCACAGTGTTCCCGAGTCCATTCTAGTGAACCGAGCAAAGGTAATGTTTCTTTGCACTGCCCGGGTTTATGAAAGAGTATTAATGGAATGTTAGGCTTTGCTATTTATTGGCCACATCTTCCGACATACCGAACCTGATGAGACTTTCGAAGAGAGGCGAGAGCTAGAACGGTAAGCAGGCTATCGAAAACATGTCCCTATGTGAGATTCTGACATGTCATCTCGTGTGTTTTAGAATGGTTGCGGAAGCAGCTGCAGGGAAGTCAAAACATGCTCAGCTCCAGGCGGAGGCGAAACGTCAGAGGCGAATGGCGGAGCGTGAAGCACCGAAGGAACGACCAAAGAGTGAAGTGCACTCCGTTAAGTCAGCCAAGTCGGAAACGCAACCGCAACCGCAGGTGGTGCAGCCTCAGCCTCAGTGAAACTCACTCGTATACCTCTCCAACTTCCGTCCACTCAAACTGCTTTGCCCTCCTTCTCATTCCCCTTTCTTTCTTTCTTCCTTTCCTTCTTTCTCTCCTCCTCTCCCCACTTCCCACTTTCTTCTTACTGTCCGACGGACGGTTTTAGATGATATACGGGCTGACCGGGCAGACACACATGCAGAATGGTGATAAACCTTATACTTGAATATGATTCATGGTAGATTAGCTGGAATGGGACTCTGATAACGTATAGTATAATGTTTAATCTATTTTCATGACTGGAATGATATTGGATGTTGAGCTTGTTTTTTGAGTCTTGAGTGGGTGAAGTAAGTACGATAATCTGTACATCAGACTCAATTGCCTACATGCCAGTTGCAATGGGCCAAGGGAATTGTATTCGACTTGCGCCTTTCGGATTTTATGACTATATTTATCCAGAGTCCACATTGTACTCTTGAGGTATATCCCTTCCTTCATATGAATGGATTTACACGTAGCCGTGATTTGTCCTCAAATTCCATTTGGGAGGCATACATGTGTTTGTCACATCGCGACGTTTCTATTTTTCCTTTCTGTAAGCTATGCATGTACGTCCGACTCTGTCCAAAAAATATATATTGCGTATGCATGCATTCCAAGAAGATTAATTAAGTACGTGCAATCTTTTCCCTATATTAACAGCACATATATGGAGTATTGTAGTCAGCACTTCTGCACCGCCGAAGAGAACCGGTGAATTGACAATACCGACTTTACGAGAGATTCTGTGCAAGTCCTGCATCAGGAAAGTCATGCTAGCGCCTGCGTAATTCCGATCCCGACTCATCCGGGTCATTGAAAATGAGCAGGCCATCGAGTTCTTCCTGAGGAGAATCAACCAACTCTTCTCCCTCACTGTAATCCCGAGGCACATCCAGCACAGTATCTCGTCCGTCAAAAGATAGCGTTGGTAGGCGTGGGGGATTGCCGGAACGACGCTCAATTAGGTCAATATCTATGGAATCCAGAAAGTATGAGTCACAATTCACAAATGCAGGTAGGTGTAGCTGTATGAGACCGAATCACTATCACCATCCTCCCGAACAGATTCGTCAAAAAAGTACCAGAGAAAGTCCCTGATGTTACGGCGAAAAAGCCAATCGAGTGCAGGAATCTGATAGTTCTTGATTTCGCTCAGCGCAAAGAGCCTCACGAGAAGTTAGTAAGTAAGGTATGACTAATAGTGGAAGTTACTTACAACACGCCGATGATAATACCGACAATCCAATCTAGCGTGTCCGACAAGATTGCCTTGTCTTGAGAGACAGCTGCTGCCTTCCATGCACCAAATACAACTATAATAAAGGTGACGAAGAGGTGGTAGATTGTAATCACTATGCGACCTACAGACCGAGGATGCTGATCAATGAGTGTATGTAATACAGTCAGCCACAAATGGACATACTGTTTCCCACATCACCTCTTGACATGCTTCAGGTAAAGTTCTGAGCTTTTTGGCCAAAGTACAGGCAGAGGAAGTAGCAAGTATGTTGAATCTGACAGCAATAGCAAGGGTGGGTACATGGTGGTAGGTGGGCGAGTTGCACAACTGTCAGCGCCCCCGCCCTGCGAGGGGTGAACTCAGTCTCAGTGGTCACTGCTGATTTGTTTGACAATGTTTGAGGCATTAAATTAAAGAAGCACGTCAAGTAATATTTACCTAACTGCCACAGTGTGGACGGATCGTGCGAAAGGCGCAAATCTGAATGATGTCCCGGGACTTTCATAATAAGGAGTAGAGCACCTATTGAGTTGCACTAACTTAGGCAAAGGCCGAAGATGGACCGATCTACACAGCCTTGAGAGGCCAAGAAACACAGACAGCTTTGTTATTGGATCCAAGGATAATGCACATTTGGCTGATGATTTGAGGACATTACCTGTATAATGAGAACAACAATGACTTTGTTCATGTCTGCAATATGTATGACTGAACTTTTGTCGCTTGGTAAGAACATTTTGTTCTGTGATATATTGTGATGGCTAATAGGTGTGATGGCTAATAGGTAACTTTAATAAGGTCAGCAACAGTTTCGTTACTGGTGAGAGTTTCAATTTCGAGCCATGGATCTCTGTGCTGAAGGGCAAGAGACCAAGCTCACTATATGCATCCCAAATTCTGATAGTAGTCTTACCCTTACATTCTCTACATTATTTGGCATGTATTTAACTAGCTAATAAAATGCTATAATAATACTTTTGTTCTTGCATAATCTCTAAAATGAACAACTGCTAGTTAGTAGTTTATCCGCTGTAATCGAGTCATGCATATTTCCGGATAAAGTTCAAACTATAAATATCTGATGATCGATCTGCCGATTCAGCTTTAGACGCCCAGCCTCGATTCGCCTGAAGCGCATATACTCACTGTACCCCGAGATGTCTCCCGTCGCAACCAAAGACAGCTCAAACTCCACAGAAGCAGCAGGAAAGACCGTAGTAGCTTCTAACGGAGCGAAGTCTGCTTTCCAGAGCAACGTCCTTTATCGCGTACCGACTAAACCACCTGTAACACTCTCTGCACATGGGATCTACTATGAATGCGAAGGTGGAAGGACGTTGATCGATGCGATTGGTGGTGCGGCTGTTACATGTATTGGGAATGGGCATCCGAAAGTTGTGAAGGCGATTCAGGAGCAGGCTGTCAAGCTTTCGTGTGAGTTCAATCCGTCTGTGATAAATATATCTCGCATTGATTAAATATTGTCGGTTCCGATATTGGTTGCATTTTTTGTTACACATATGCGAATGATGTATAGATATGTATCAGGTACTGTTGACGAATGAACCTGCTGAAGGACTTGCGGAGATTCTTATCAACTCGGGGAAGGGTGCATTTTCGCAATGTGGGTTTGTATCTGGAGGTAATTATCTATTCTTGAATGCATGCGTTCTACTCCGATTTATTGATTTTACGAACAGGATCCGAAGCGATGGAAGCGGCTTTGAAGCTCTCTCGACAGGTAAGTAACAATCGTGCTTTAATCGATTATGCTATTTCTAAAAAAAATCCGGATAGTACTTCTACGAAACTGGACAAAAACAACGAGTGAACTTCATCGCTCGTCAACTTTCGTATCACGGAAATACACTAGGGACTCTGAGCCTAGCATACCATCCAGCACGACGAGCACCGTATGAAGCGAACTTGACTCATCACTGTTTTCATCACGTTTCTCCTGCTTATGCGAAGCGTTTCCAAAAGCCTGACGAAACCGAGGAACAATATGTTGAGAGACTGAGGCAGGAACTGGATGATAAGTTCCAGGAACTTGGGCCGGAAACTGTCATTGCTTGTAGGTGCGCCTGCGTTCATAATTTATTTATTAACCCAAATTGGAGATAGTCGTTGCTGAGACCGTCGTCGGTGCTACAACTGGAGTGGTAGAGCCACCCAAGGGATATATCAAGGCCATGAGATCCGTATGCGACAAGTACGGTGCATTGTTTATCCTTGATGAAGTCATGAGTGGCATGGGACGTGAGTCGCGGATGTTCCGATTCCGGTCCTGTTGTGAAGTATCACTAATATCACCTTCCGCTTCAAGGTATGGGAACTCTTCATGCATGGGAGAAGTACGGTGATGGTGCTACTCCAGACATCCAGGCTGTTGCTAAGGGCCTTGGAGGAGGGTATGATTTCTAATTCGGCCGAGTAAAGTAGTATATTTACAAAGAACTGATGTTAGGTATGCCTCAATCGGCGCTGTTCTGATGTCAGAACGCGTGTCAGTGGGGATTCGAGATAACTCTGGATTCTGGAATCATGGACACACGTACCAAGCACATCCGATTCAATGCGCAGCGGCGCTTGCCGTGCAAAAGGTCCTTATTGAAGAAGACCTCATCACAAGTGCACGCGTCCAAGGGGGAAAATTCGGTGAACGTCTGCGCGAGGCAATGTATGCACCGAACTTTGCTGCGAAGCCATTTGTCTTTGACGTGCGCGGTGCGGGATGTTTCTGGGCGGTAGAATTCGACTTTGATGGAAGCGATGCGCAGGCGGTGTTTGACTTCAAGGGCAAACGCTTTGCCTCACTCATTCAGGCGCAATGCATGAAGAACGACCTTGTTATCCTTGCTTTCAGCGGCGGTGCGAACCTTGAGGGCAACAAAGGCGACCACACTATGTTTGCCCCTCCGTACAACATCAAAGACGAGGAGATTGAGAAGATTGTGGAGTTGTTCACGAAGAGCGTGGAGGAGGTACTTGCTGCCAGCCTGCGATGAGAGCTATAGCATAAGAATCCCTTGAAATATAGAATGAACCTGTAACTACTACTAGTACTAGATGTGCAAGGAAGGAAAGAGAGTTGAATTGAATCCATTATTATTAAGAGACGCCACCGAGCGTGGGAACGGGATCACGGGGATCACCTTTGACCCTTTACATACGCATACGGAACCGGACACTTGTACTCTCGTCCACCCTTACTTACTCACTCGACATCGTCCCCGACGACCGTGCCGTTGACGGCCGGCCTCTCTCATAACCACACTCGCACTTGCTCAGCTTCGCAGCTAGGTCGATGGCGGCCTGAATTCAATGGACTTCGAACGAAATCATCATCAGCCAGCAGCAGCCTCCAGTTCATCGTCACTTCAAATCCAATCCGCATCTTCTGCCTCGACAGTCCCCATCCTTACTACTGACAGAGCGCCTATACGCTCGAGTTCTCGTCTCAAAGCAGCAAAGGAGAAAGGAAAGGAGCGCGAAGAGCTTCTTGCTGAGCAGCCTTCTGTGCGTACATCACTTACTCTGCGCGGCGTTTACTTTGCATATCCGCTGACTGTGCTGATTCTCTGACTTGGTGAAATTTAGAGGCGTAGTCGTGACTATACAGGTAAAGGTAAGGCTAGAGAAATACCTGCAGAGTCCATTTCCGCCCCTGTTCGTTCTAGCAAGAGGTGAGCAATCTTTGCATTGCAGCCAATTGCCCCGTCGCACTAAGCCGCATTGCTGACTTATGATGATTGTTCTAGGACAAAGCGTAACACTCAAGCGCCAACTGCGACTTCCTTCATAATCGACGGGCCGTCAAAGGATTGCAAGGGAAAGAAGCGTGCCGCTCCCGACTCCTTTTCTGAGGACGATTCCACCCTTACCTCTTCAAAGCGAGTTAGACGATCCAGGAAGGAATCTCAGATGACGAAGAAGTTGAGGTGAGTGCCCTCGTCGGTCTCACTGATGCCTGATTATGTTCTGATGTTGTTGCGTTGCAAGGTCTCCGCCGAAAGGCAAGAGTGTGGCGAAACCCAAAGCTTTCTCGGCTCCAGGCCCGTCACGGCCCGATGACGATGACGACATGATGGATGTTGACTTTGGGGAAGGAATGCCTGATCGTGACGACCACTTGCATAGAGGGGATGAGGGACAGCATAGCGAAGATGAAGGGAGTGAAAAAAGTGATGACGAGCACCATAATGAAGATAGCGAAAAACGGGAGCCTGCGCCGTCGGCCGATGCTTCTCCCGAGTCTCGTCGCACGCTAGAGGAGACGATGGCAATGTTTGACTTTGGGCGTATTGGAGGTTTCATGAGTCAGATAAATACTCGTCTACGTACTCTACTCAACAACATCAAGCCTTCTGCCGATCCTTCCACGAGGCTCGTGGCTCTGCAAGAGCTTAGCGAGCTCCTGAGTATCAGCACTGAAGACACTCTGGCAGGCTCATTCCAGATCGAGAGTTTTGTCAGGGAGCTCGTTCGTGTTCTAGGCGGAAATGGCGGCGAAGCGGCGCAGGATGAAGTCGATGATGATGATGATAATGGCGGCGATGAAGAAGCCGCGCTTGCTGCAGCACTTGCAATGAGTTCAGGTGGCGCATATACAGGGGATGAGAACCTTGAAGCACAATTGCTTGCTTGTCGCTGTCTTGCTAATCTCATGGAAGCTCTTCCTGGTTGTGGGCATACCCTTGTCTACCATGGTGCCATCCCTGTTCTATGCAGTAAATTAATTGAGATCTCATACATCGATCTTGCTGAACAGACGCTTCTTGTAAGCTGGCTTCATGGTTTGGACTACTCTTTGTTTACTCAATTTCTTTCATGTAGACTCTCGAAAAGATATCAGAAGAATACCCGAGTGCAATCGTGCGCGAGGGTGGCTTGGCTGCCTTACTGAACTATCTGGACTTCTTCTCCATCGCCGTTCAGCGTACTGCTTTGCAAGCTGCAGCAAACTGCTGCCGTAACTTCTCACCTGACCACTTTGCAATGATCAAGGACGTCTGGCCAATCATTCGAAATTGTTTGGGTTACGCCGACCAGAGACTTGTTGACTTCGCGGCTCTCTGTGTGATCAGAATCATTGAGTCCTATCATCGTTCACATGCTGACAAGCTTGAGGTGCTTGTGGATGCGGAACTTATCAAAGCGGTGAACGTCTTGCTGTTACCAGCGGGAGGTTCTCCACTTATCTCGGCAGGTACATATACGCAGCTGGTCAAAGTTATGGCTACGGCTGCAAGAGCCAGTCCGACAATTTCGCTGGCCCTTTTGCAAGCTGATATCGTGACAACAATATATCATATATTGACGGGAGTACTACCACCAGCGCACAGTGAAGAAGAGCAAGGGAACAGTGCTACCGGCCAGGGATTTGGTGGTGGCTTGGCAGATATGACCGTTATGCAGAATTTAGCGCATAGACCCAAGGAACAAGTGGAAGAAGCATTGACACTTGTTCTAGAACTTATGCCTCCACTGCCTAAAGGTAATAAATTCTACGCATATAAGTAGATCTATTCTCTAAATTCTTCTCCGATAGATGGTACGTTTGATCATAAAGGGTATTCAGAAAAAGCACTCCATCGTATGATCAAGGCAAAAGGGAAAGCTGATAGGGCTGCCGCACGAGCGGCGGCGGTAGCCAACTCAGCCGGTGTGCAATCAGCTGCCTCGTCACGAGCGCATACGCCGACGGGAGGCGTGCATACCCCTGCAGAAGATGATGCTGCGACGCCTGGTAGTGTACCTGCGCCTGACATGCCTGACATACCTCCAGTCCTTCCATTACCTGGTACTTCCTCAGCTGAACCCACAGTCGATCGTGCAACTTTGCTCCGCCAGCACGAGCACGTCGTTAATCGTTTCATTACCCCGATGGTCCCGATTTTAGTCGATGTTTATGCAGCGAGCGTCTCAGGTCCTGTACGGATAAAATCCCTGACTAGCATTTTGAAAGCTATATGCTTCCAGGACGAGGAACAAATAAAGAATACTTTAAGTGTAAGTCGCAGTGGTTATCGAACGTCCTTGAATTAAACTCATGTTGATTTCTTCAGAACGTACCTATCGCGAGCTTCATTAGCTCAATCTTATCCGCAAAGGACAATCCGAACCTTATGATCGGAGGTTTGCAGTTGGTTGAGCTTCTGTTGAGCAAGGCACCTGCGGATTACAAAGCTTCTTTCAGGCGAGAAGGTGTATTACATGAGATCGAAACCCTCGCTACACGCCAACTTCCTCCACGAGCGAAAGACAAGGAGAAAGAGAAGGTCAAAGAAGAAAACAAGGATGAGTCGGTACCACCTGAAGCTCTTCCATCCGCCCCCATTTCTTCGTCTGCGATCACGTTGGTATCGGGTAGCCGTCGGCCTCACATCTTGGATCCTGAAGATGCTTATACGTTACGCGCTCGTGTCATCCGATTCAAGTATCTTTCGAACGATTCACAGGAGGAAGCAGATGCGGCTTTCGCTCGTTTGCGATATCTAGTGACGGGCCTTATGCAGAAGGATACGAGCGACCAGCAACTCAGCGAGACAATGGGGTCGTTAGGGAATATATTTGCTTCGCAGCAGACTGTATCCAGCTTTGAGCTCATGCAGAGTGGTATCGTGGATGCTTTGCTTGAGTTTGCAACTTCGAAAGACTATACTGGTATGTCATTATGTCATATAAGATGTTTAATTATCTTTCTAACTTTAGATTTGCAGTTGATGTTGCTCGACGTCAGGAGATCGTCATGGATAAGTTAGCTGCTTACAGGGACGAGAAGTCCGCTGGCCCATCTATTGGTGTGTTGGTCAAGAAACTGCAAGAAAGTTTGACCCGAATGGAATCCTTTGAAGTAACCACGGTTTCTTCTGGGTTGGAAGGTACGTTCATCTCAAACCTGTCTTGAACTGATGATTGACTTATCGATTATTATAGACTCGAAGCGAAGCACGCCATCACTCCTCGCACGTCAGATCAAGCTTCGGCTCATTCCTGAGGACACGTCGGATTCATCCACCAGCAACTTGGTGGTATCGATTCATGCTATTGCAACTTTCCAAGCGTTGAACGATTATCTCCGACCGAGACTGGGTGGATTGCTTTCGGGCTCTACTACTGGCTCGAGGTTGTCCGGGATGCTATCAGCTTTAGCTGCCGGCCGATTCCCTCCTGAAATCTTAGCTGCTGGTGGTCTCGGTGGTCTGCCTAGCGCTCTGGCCGCTCCACCTCCTCCACAAGTGCAGACTGATGAAAGCAGTGGCGAATCCGACCCAAGACCAGAGCGCCGTAGAAGTCAGCGTTTGAGCGCGAAGGCATCTGCGGGGTCTATGTCAGAATCTGTCATAGCCAATCCACAAGCCTCGAGTTCTGTAGCTACACCTCCTTCTGTGGCCTCGACTTCTACCGCTGTCGCTCCTAGTCAGGACAAAGGCAAGCGGAGGAGGTCGAACTCGCACAAGAGCCCGTCGGGCGAGCAGAATGGGAGAGTGTCACTTGATGATGAAGATATAGATTCGGACGGCGATTATATGGATGCTGACGTGGACGCCGAGGTAAGTTTTTACCGTCTTGCAATTTGTAAGGTTCGATCTCAACTTTGTTTTTAGGTGTTTGAGGATGATATCGATGAGGAAGAACATGTTGATGCGGAGAAGACAGTTACTCTTTCAGTTAATGACGGTCCGTCGGACTATTTTGTCGTTTGATGCTGGTTCTAAATTGCTTTACAGACGGTTCTAAGATAGAGGCACAAACACCCGAGGGGACTCGAGTAGCAACACCCAGCTCGGGCGGACCTGCTGCGGGACCTTCAACAAGTTCATTAACACAAAAGCCCTCATATGCGGCCGCTTTGAAAAATAAACCTACCGATTGGCACTTAGAGTTCTCCATGGATGGGCATGTCCTGCCTTTGGATATGACTATTTACGGAGCTGTCCACCAACATGAATCACGCAAAGCATCTGGCAATTCTGTTCCTTTATCTATGCTTTACACATCAGTTTTCCCCGTCAAATATAAGAAAGTACCAGGTCCACCGCCTCCTCCAGAAAGTGAGCAAATTGCTTCACTGGTTTGTGTGCCGATTTACTAACGTGATTGTATTTTGTGTAGGTACAAGTGAAGGTACCTTGCGAGCTCGGTCACCTGTGTCATCTTTAGCATCACTCCCCGACGACGCACCTCACTCGAAGATATTGAAACTACTCCGTGTTTTACATAAACTTAATGCCGAGGCGTCTGAGAGCGAATATGACAGGCAGATCCTCCCTCAGGCTGCCTTCATCAACAACAAACTCACCGCGAAGTTGACTCGACAATTAGAGGAGCCAATGATCGTTGCCAGCTCATCTTTACCGGATTGGGCTATGGACCTCCCGCTTCACTTCCCTTTCTTGTTCCCCTTCTCAACGCGATTCTCCTTCCTACAATCAACTTCGTTCGGCTATGCTCGTTTGATCCTTAGGTGGCAGAGCCAGAATCGAGCACAGGAGTCGTCACGACGAGATGATCAGCTTGGGTTCCTTGGACGTTTGCAGAGGCAGAAAGTGCGCATTTCGAGGAAACACATCCTCGAGTCGGCATTCAAGGTGTTCGAGTTATACGGATCATCGTCTTCGATTCTCGAAGTGGAGTACTTCGATGAGGTCGGGACTGGGCTGGGACCGACACTCGAGTTTTACTCTCTGGTGTCGAGAGAGTTCGCAAGGAGAGATTTGAAAATCTGGCGAGATGCTGATGCGACGTATCCCGGTATCTACGTTCATCATCCGCACGGATTGTTCCCTGCGCCGGTATCTGCAGACCTTGTCGGTGACGGTGGAGAAAAGCGCACCTATGTCTTCAAGATCATTGGCCAATTCGTTGCAAAGGCGATGTTGGACTCGCGTATTATCGATATGTCGTTTAATAGGATCTTCTTGAAGATGATTCTTGGAGAGGAGATCCCGTTGACGATTAATACTTTGCGAGTAAGTCATGCGTTATTTCGGGATTGATGATGGTACTGATGTATTTTGTAGCTCGTTGATCCACCTCTGGCAAATTCGCTGTTCAAGCTTGAAGCGTTGGCTCATAATGCTGGTTCGGATGATGCTAAGGTGAGTACAAGCAGTCAGTGAAATATCGTGACATAATTGACATTTATCCCTTTAGATGCAATATGGTTCCATCGAAGACCTGATGTTGGACTTCACGCTACCTGGTTATGACATCGAGTTACGACCTGGAGGAAAGGAAATGGCAGTGACATCGGATAATGTTAAGGAGTACATTCAGGGTGTCATCGATGCTACAATTGGTTCTGGTGCTGAGTTGCAGGCGAAAGCGTTCCGTGAAGGTTTCTCGAAAGTGTTCCCTGTGACGGACTTACAAGCTTTCACTGCGGATGAGTTGGGTGTGTTGTTTGGCAGTGCTGTTGAAGATTGGAGTGTGGACAGTAAGTTGGCATGATGCAGAGAGCATAAAATCATGGTGCTGATAGATTGATTTTGCAGCGTTGATGGAGTCGATGAAGGCGGACCATGGGTTCAACATGGAGAGCCCAGCCATTCGTGATCTTGTCTCGATCATGTCAGAATACGACGAAATATCGAGAAGGAGATTCCTTCAGTTCATCACTGGTAGCCCGAAGTTACCAATCGGAGGTAGGCATTCTATTATGCATTCCCAATCTACAAGTACTTACACTCTGTTGCAGGATTCCGAGGCCTTAACCCACCATTTACTGTTGTACGCAAGCCGCATGAAGCGCCGTACACTGCCGATGACTACTTGCCGAGTGTGATGACGTGTGTGAACTACCTAAAACTACCACAGTACAGTTCGCGAGACGTTATGCGGGAAAAGCTAGAAACGGCTATCATGGAGGGTGTCGGAGCGTTCCATTTGTCATAAGGTTGCTTTAAACGAGAAAGTTGTTCTTATACAATATCCAAGCTTAGCACTGTATACACATCATCTTTGCCGTCAGCTCTTTTATTTATCCCACCTCACTTTTTGTCATCGCCATCCATCCAAACATTAGAGGACTTTTATAGTTGTTGCTTCTTCCTAGTCGTACATTCCCGTCTTGTCGCCATGAAGATTATGTTTAGGCTTCTGTATGCTATTTACAAGATAGGAATAAAAATCGAGTATGCTTTTCGAATCCGGTTCCGAGGAGTTACATGCTATTTATGAGTACGGGAGTATTTCTTTTAACCATAGCATGATGACCGCGCACGTCGTCTAAATCTGTTTTAAGATGTTGGCTTGGCAAGTGGAGCCTACTGTGCAACAGTGCAACAAGGGTGGTATGCACGATGGACACGCAGTAGTGATGAGCCGAGATGATAGATTGATACCTTCGTTGGTTGCTACTGTGAGTGACGGCGGCGACGGGACTCGAGGTGTGATACACAGCTTATTTATTTTATCTTATTTTATTTATAATTGGCGGATGCGCAGCGCCGAAGCCTGTCAGTGCCAAATTACATACGCCTCCCTCTCTTCCTTTCCACATCCATCATCCACGTCCCTTCATCTCATCCGCCCATCTTTATTTCTCGTTCCTCGTCGCCGACACATATTAAAATTGCGACGTTCTTCGCAACAACATGTCGTCGAGGATACGCACAGACCTCGAGAGCCTCACGCGGTTCCGCGCGCCAGGTGTACGACCCTTTCGGTTACTCCTCGCCGTCGTTGGGCTACTCTGTGTGGTGCGTTTTGCGTCCGTTCACTTCGGAAATTGCAATAAATTCTTATCTTTTTTTAAATTTACTTTACTGTACTTGATGACAGGGCCTACTTGTAACGTCGCCCACAGCGCGGACGTACGTACCATACGAGAAGTTCAAATACGGTTCTTCAAAAGGTGGAAGTGGGAGTGGAAGTGATGGAGGGTACACCGTCGTACGTCCTCCACACGCAAAACCCGTAAACGTCACCATCTCTCCACCCGTCGACCCGGAAACCAACCGCGCAAACGCAACGCTCCTGATGCTCGCACGAAACAGCGATCTATCAGGTGTAGAAGCTTCCATGAGATCCCTCGAATCCGCTTTCAATCATAAACACAACTACCCCTGGACTTTCCTCAACGAAGTACCATTTTCACTCGAGTTCAAGAAACGCGTTCGCGAACTCGCCAGCGGAGAAGTCAAGTTCGGCTTAATCCGAAGCGAGGACTGGTATCCTCCCGACTGGCTCGACGAAGAAAAGTACGAACACGATCGTAAGGAGATGGAAAAGCTACGAACAGTACCCTACGCGGGGAGTACGACCTATCGTAACATGTGTCGTTTCAACTCCGGATTTTTCTTCCGACAAAACGTATTGGATGAGTTTAAGTGGTATTGGAGGGTGGAACCGCATGTGACGTTCCCGTGTGAGATTCCTGGAGACCCATTTGTGTATATGATCGAGAATAATAAGCGGTATTCGTTTACGATTACTATACCGGAGTATGGTGAGACGATACAATCGCTGTGGCCTACTGTTAAAGGTGCGTCTCTTTACTTTGCTCGTTTGATGTATATTTATATGTCTAACTTGCTATATTTTTGCGCATCTCGGTTGATATTAGGCTTCATGTCCGATTACTCGCATCTCATGCCCGATAACAACGCACTTGCATATTTAACGGACGACAACGGAGAGTCGTACAACCGATGTCATTGTGAGCGTCCCCCACTTCCCTCTGTACCACTTGAAAATGAAAACTCATTCAATTAACTTCTCCAACAGTCTGGTCAAACTTCGAAGTCGCAGACCTCGACTTCTTCCGTTCCCCCTCCTACCTCCAATTCTTCAACTCTCTCGACCAAACGGGTAACTTCTTCTACGAACGATGGGGAGACGCACCCGTGCACTCTATCGGTGTTGCGCTCCTCCTACCTAAAGAGCAAATTCATTTCTTCAAGGACATAGGGTACTACCACGTACCCTTCTGGAACTGTCCCGCGGATGAAGGGAATGAGTTGCAATGCAATTGTGAGAGAGGACAGAGCTTTGATGTACATGGGAGTGCGTGTATGAAGAGGTTTGAGGGGTTGTTCCCTGATGGTGTTATTGGGTGAGGTATATGCATATTTCCTTCTCTTTTAATCTTATTATACACACACAATGCATGAATAAACCTTAGACCAGCTGGATCCTGTCCTCATCCTGTCCTATCCTCACCTCCCTCTCGCATATGTAAAATCTTGGAAGTCATCAATGATATTGCATATATTAATTGATACATTGGTGGCCGGAATGATGGTAAGTTGCCGACCTTGACCCGACTATATAGACACCCTCTGTAGGCCACGACTTGTCAATCGAATACATCGTGACGATTAAAGATGGCGGCTACCACTGATACTTCCGACTCGTCTCAGCTGATTGAGAGCTTGGCAGCTATGTCAATAGCTGGGGGCAATAAACAAATGTATGTTACGGTTTTATCTCTATCTTTGATATTGTGTTTATCTAAAACCCAGTCTTGTTAGAGTCCCTATAACTCCAACGTCTGCTCCAGGAGCAGAGGATGTGTCGATGGATACCCTGGCGCAGTCATTTGTCGATCAATCATAATCAACGACGTCTACTCCCATGTCACTGTCTAATGATACTTCAGCACCCGGATCGGGTCCATCGGTGTTTGCATCTACACCATCGTCAACTCAGACTGTGCCAGACTTTGACTTCATGTCGATTGGATTTGATGACTTCACATCGATGTTCGGTAAGGAAGAACCTATCGACTTCGATTGTGATTTCGAGAGCTGGTTCACTACAGATGTGGATGGTATTCTTCCAACGACTGCTCGAGCAGGGCAGGTGGGCGCATTTCCCAATAATCAATCATAACCAACGACGTCCACTCGCAAGTTGCCACCTAAAGGCGTTGGTACTGCAGTACCTGGATCAGCTCCGTCAGTACCGGCGCCGTCAGTTTCTGCAGACTGCAACCGCACCACCGCCGAACGTTGACTTCGACTTCATGACGGATGGGTTTGATGACTTCATATCGATGTTTGGTAGAGACGCTGACTTCACTGAATACGATCGTGACTTTGGGAGCTGGTTCACTAGAGATATGAGTGGTCTTGGTACTTCATGATATAACGAAACGCCAAGTCTAGACAGGTGAAATCCAAGATACGTGTGTAGTAAATGCAGTTTGTGGAATAAGATATGTATAACAATTGTTGGTTGATGAAGTGATGCACGGATGAATAGCAGAGCCGTAGAAAAACAAATGTGTAAAAGGGGATCTCGGTTTTTACTGAGATGGCCGAAACATGGCATCCATTGCTAACGGATAGACACTTGGATCCCTATAGAGACCAGTTTGCTTTAGAGAACCCCTTTTTTTTGCTTGCAAAAGCAGGTATCATATTGTACGTATATGCGTGCTATCTGCTGACATACCGATGTTCTGTAATGATTGTTAGTATGTGCACGTGCAGTGGCATATTTCGTTGCTGATAGCAATGCATCAAGGTTAAACAGTAGGGATGAGAAGTAAAATATAGAAAGAGGTGGAAGTATTTCTAAATTGGCAACCACACTTCTGCGTTTTATCTATTAAACACTCTCTCGTCGACCTCCTACTGCGAATTCAGATAACGAGGTCACATAGGAGCAAGCAGAAAAAGACGCTGTGGCCCGAAGAAATTTCAGTGCCACAGAAAAGCCAGTGTTAGGCTTTTGTAAACCCTACATTGTGCGTCAATTGCGATGTTTGTCAGAGATCATGCAGAACAACTGAGAAAGCAATATGTACGTACCAAGTCTCCGCCTCTCGTAGAACAAATCCGTCCGACTAGCGCCAAGGTTAACGATCTTTGGACATCCGTCCCTGTCTTTCTCAAGCCGTGTACACTCTGCACAGTAGTATGCGTCGGAGATACCTATGGGATCATGGTCAATACTCTCCTTCCTATAAAAGGCGACGCCAAAGGAAAAGCAGGGTAGAGAAGCCGGAAATTCAAAAATAGTAGAAGATAGGAAAACGAACAGGAGACATACCAGGAGACCCACAGATGATACATCTCCCACCGTACGTGCCGAAGTTGCATTCGTCGCAAATGCGCACGAGCGTCTCTGGGCGGACGTACGAATCACATACTGGGCTGTTCGAAGCAGTGCGTTAGATTCTTCTTACCCTGAGAGATATGTGCGGAGGGGACGTACCACTTTCCGTCGCACTTCTCGCATAGACGTCCAATAGCTAATAGTTGAGCAGTCACAACATGTTAGTACTGGGGGTTACAATACAGGGAGAATTGACGGACGACGAACCAATACCAGGCTGGCGCCTGCACATAATCAAATCTGCAACCCTCATTAGGATCATGACTTTGATGATCGGTGTAGATACGACGTACCGGGATGGTGCTTCGACATATTGCTTTAATGGTTTAAAGTCAAGAGTGAGCAGGACCGAACGAGGTGTGACGGTAGGTAAAGCTAGGTAAGCCGATCCCGTGACCTCGACACGTAAATAACTCACAACAACGCGAAAATTTCTAGAAACAGTCTGAGTATTGATTATTCATCAGCCACCACAGCCCTGAACTTACCCAAAACGATGCCGATTGCAACGCTCAGGCATATTGAAACTCTTCCAATTGAGACTAGAATACATATCCTTGACTTTGCTGCAAGGAGTCCAGGACATCCGAATGGGCTCCTCACATTTCTTCCCTCCAGAGAACGATTTTAAATACGTTGAGGGATTCACGAACGCCATGCGGCAATGCCTATTTTTCGTCGTTGGGTCGAAGAGGCTCTAACATCCTTGCGATTGAGTGTTTCGGTGAATGGTGTAAAGGATATCTTGAGTCTAAAATTCCAGCTAATCTCGTTCGGTGCGTTCTCCATTGAAAGGCAGGTTGTACGCCCAACGAATTATTCATTAACGTAACCGCATTCTCTTCTACTACTCTACCAGGCATTTGAGGATTCGAAACAAATTATTCACCGTACCAGCTGAACTTGTGTTCTTTAAGAGACTCGAATTGATTTCCCTTACCCTAGACACGACTGCTAGTTATGACTTGTTGCATTCTCAGGCAACTTTGATGTTGTAAAGCCTACAAAAAATAGATCCTACACAGGAAGGTATCAGGCTCCTGAATACACTATATATCTTTCTGAACTTTGTCAAAGTGTGCCTTGCAGAAGCCCAGCCAACAATAAGAATAGTAGAAATCTGGTCCATAAAATACTTCATAATGGATGACTTAATATTTCTCAATATTGAGGTCAGTATAACATTCTTATAGTACATCAATTTATGATAAATCATAAAATACCCTGTGTGCAGGAAGTTGTAGACAACATATTTGTTGTTTTACAAAGCTTTGTAGGATGTAAACATTATCAACTCCTCTCTCTATACACAACAATTACACTCTAGACAGAGCTCAAAGAATTGCATATGTGTTATAGTCTTAAATACAAATATATGTCCTGTAACTATATTGATTGTAGTCTCTGTAATTCTGCTGAGATGGACAAATCTGTAAGGGTGGAGGAACAGTACATTAACAAGGAAACTTGCTAATAATATACTATCTCTATAGTATACTTAGTAGTCTGTTCTATTCAGATACAGTGTGTATTTTAATAAAGTGGGTCAGAAGGTATATCTGATCTCTAGATATAATAACAGAACCTTCTCTACTGGTGGAGAGCATATAATTGAAGAATTATAGTTGATTAAGGTACTTTATAGTATTCTCTTAATATCTGTACAATATTAATATATGTACCAACTTCTACTTAGATAGAACAGGATAATGATTATATTACAATCTGTTACAGTTCTCTACTCTTACACCTTCAGTTCTGAGGGTTCTACACCCTTCTGTACTAGAACTCAGGACTTCTGTCCCTCAGGAGTACTGTTTATAAACTATATGTAGGCTGACTCTTACTATTACCCCTTCTTACTTTATCATTCTATTCCTTTGACCACCCTTTCATTCTTTGTTCATTCTATAGTCTCTTACCCTTTGTCCATCCCTTCATTCTTTATACCTTTATCTTTGACCTTCCTTTCTTTCATTCTTTGTGGCTCATCATTCTTAGTAGCTTATATTCTCTGAGTACTCTTATATAGTTTAGTATATATAAGTGTATAAGATCAGACTAGTCTTATAGTCTTGATCTTGTTTACTCTAGGTAGTCCTGTACTCTTAGACTTACTCTATATACTCTACTCTTGTCTCTCTCTCTCTCTCTCTGTTCTACAAGTTCTAACTATATTCTAGTGTTTGTATTCTATATTTCTGTTATGTAGAATAGTTGTAACCTAGGTCCTCTTACTTGGTAGGACAGTAGGAGTGGCAGTTAGTACAGAAGGGTCTATGTTTACACTACAAAGGGATCAACACTAAACTAAAAGGAGTAATAAATAGAAGAAGAGTGGTAAAAGTTTAAAAGGGTTTAGAAAGTTTAAAATTTAAAAATGTAAAAGGGTTAGGACAAAGAAAAGAGATTAATACAATAGTGAGTACTAATGCCTGAAACATAGGAGAGTCATAGGGTAGTAATAAGTAGTCTTGATCTAATGTTAGTAATAGTATAGAGGGGACTCAAAGGCTCGATTAGTAGTTATGAGTAGACTTAGCTTAATATGTGTAGACCTCTATCTAAGAGGCCTTTACTAACTATATACTCTTAACCCTCTTAGAACCTGTTCTAATTGTTTTAGAAGTTACAACCTGTTTTAGAAAGAAAGTGTATATAGTCTACCCTTCAGACTTTAATAAGTAGTACTTTAAGAACTTCTAGTATTAAGTTGAACTATATATAACTACTACTTTGACTAATCTATCCTTAGATCTTAATTGTGTCCTATTTGTCCTCTCCTTTATGAAGGAAGGCAACACAGCCACTTAGGCCTAGAACTAGATTGAAGGACATTAGATTAGAAGCCTAATCTAACTTTAGAACAATGAGTCATACTCAGAATTTATAAGACAGCTCTGTACTTCCTTTATTAATCTAAATAAGAAGTATAATGTGTAGAACAAGTTTGTGTCTCTGTAACAGAGCAAACATTCTACTAATACCTTCTTTCAGGAGTTTAATATTCTAGCCTAGAAGGTAGGATTTATACTCAGGTTTAATAATGTCCTTATTAGAATGCTTGAAAAAGCTCTTCACTTAGAACTAGTTAATAAGATTCTCAGAATAATGTTAGAACTGATTACTTACACTAATTAGAAGACACACACTATTTCCTTTAACTAAGCTATAGCTCAAATGTGTTAAGTCTGTATAGAATACTCACACATGTGTCTGACTCTGACAGTTCTAAGCCCTTAGATTAATCTGTCTATAATTTACAATCAATCTGTTCTAATAGACATTAGAGAAGCTTAAAAGTAAGGAGCATACTTTGTCTGTAGAAAGTCAGAGCACTAAATTAAGAACTGTCTGTAGAAGTAATAGTATATCTGTCAGGTCATTAGAGTAATAATGAGTAACAAGTAGAATTTGTAGTAAGAAGCCTTTTCTACAAATCTAGAAGTTACCTCAGAACTCTTAAATCCTAACTATATACTCTAGGATTTTGTAGAGGCTTAACAGTAAATACAGTACTAAAGAGCTATAACTTGGATTTTTTAACAGCTACTTTTGATTCAATAGACACTGTAGGATTAGAAGTAAATAAAGTAAGAAAAACAGAAAAAGTAGAAAAAGTAGAAAAAGTAGAAAAAGTAAATTAACAAGATTATTTATTAAAAAGGAAAAAGTTGAAAACAAAAGTAGATAGTTCTCTTATTTCTTCTGATTCTTTTAATTCTTCTCTTTACACTTTATCTGAGTCTAAATCTGTACAATCCAACCTACTACTTCTACATTCTAAGAGCTCAGAATGTTTAGAACATTACTCAGCCCTGTTTACTACTTAGTAGTTTGTTTATAATATTAAGTAGAGATAGTCTTAGCTAAGTTCATAGTTGAGAACATAAGTCTGTCCTTGTTGAAAGAGAGAGGTTAATAAGGAAATGTTAGTATATATACTTACCCTTTTAGATAATAAGACTGTACAAACTGTATGTTCCCTTTAGAACAAGTAGTAATTTATTAGAGAATGTTCTAGATACTAGCTTTAAGTTCCTGTCCTCTTAACTCCTTTCTTAGAGTCCTCTCAGATCTAAACAATAACTCTAGTAGATAGTAAATGTACTAGTTTATACATTAATAAGACCTTTATGTAGGAATACTATCTTCCTACTTAATGTGTTCTACTTCCAATCCTAGTATACAATACAGACAGAACTCTAAACTAGAATAGTTGGATTATTAAGTTTGTCTAACTATAGATGACTATTTGGGATTATAAGGAAAGTATTAAGTTTAGAGTCACTAACCTTAGAAAGACAGACATCTTTATCAGATTTGAACAGTTTAAAGCTTATAACCCTACTATTAACTAGTTAGAGTAGACACTTGTGTTTAATTAGTGTCTCAAGTCTTACAACTATCTTACACTACTGTTCTAAGTGAATACAGATACTTTCAAACTAACAGTTCTAATAAAGGTAACTAGTTGTTCTTCTTCAACTAGGATAAATATGTAGACACATATTCTAGTTAAGGTAGAACAGAGTCAATCTGAAGAATATCTGAGACAGAACCAGTCTAGAACCCTTTTAGAACAACTCTACTCTAGAATGTATGTAGACCCAGCCTACTAGATTTTGTCTAAGAGTTCCCTAAAGTCTTTAGTAAAGAGGAATTTGACTAGCTTCCTAAACATTACTTTTAAGACTATATAATTAAATTAACTAAGAGTTTCCAACCTAAGGATTGTAAGGTCTACCTACTTAATAGAGACAAGTAGGAGGTACTTAATAAGTTCCTTCAGGAAAATCTTCAGAACAGTCAGATCTGACTCTTAAAGTCCTCTATAGTCTCCTCTTTCTTCTTTGTCAAAAAGAAAGATAGAAAGCTCTACCTAGTTTAGGATTATTGTTGTCTTAATAAGGGTACTATTAAAAACAAGTATCTACTCCCTCTGATTCAGGAGCTCATTAATAAGACACATACATTCAGGGTTTTTACTAAGTTGGACATTTAATAAGGATACAATAATATTCAGATCTAATACAGAGATGAGTAGAAGACTGTGTTTTAAACTAATTGTAAATTGTACAAACTAACTATAATGTTCTTTAGACTAACTAAAGTACTTACAACATTCTAGTCATTCATAAATTACATTCTTACAGATCTGATTAACTCAGAGTATATTAGTGTGTATCTGGACAACATTCTAATCTTCACCCAGACAGTTAAGTACTATTACTAACTAATCTAAGTAGTTTTATAGTAGCTCTAAAATAATAAACTGTTCCTCTAAGAAGTAAAGTATTCTTTTGTACAGG